CTTATACTTTGACATGTGAAGATCTGGGGGATCGATCGCTTTCCCTTCTTTTTTCTTTTATCTTATCAGTTTATCCCCTCTTTTCTTTTTCTTTCTTTTTTTTTTATTTTTGACTATATAATTTTTGGCTGTTTTGGGACATAAAACTACCAAGACTATATTTCTCCTCGCATTTCAAGATTCCTATGTTATTTCATAACCAAATTGTTTCTCTTAATAATTATTATGTGGTGCTCGGAAGAATGACCTCCGGGGGCGTGGGTAAATCATGAACCGTGGGGTAAACCTTCAGGAGAGAGGGACATGCATACCCCGTGACTTGCAAGGAGGAAGCAACACAAAGGTAAAATACTAGCTCGAAAGGGTAAAATCCCAGGGGGTCACAGGGATTAGAGGCATATTTCTTTTGTTTTTCCTTTTATCATATTCAGACACTAATCATTATCCCCATTCCTCGCAGGATGAACATTTCCTTGCTATAACACTGTCGGCACCGACGGACGGAGAAAGGACCTCGGCTGAAGAACGACCCCAGGCTTGGCCCGGAAATACCCGTGGATCATAGCTGGACTGGTGCACCAACTTTCCATCCCCCACACTTCAGGTCACGGTCTTGTCTCGGTGGTAAAGGGCATGTCACAAGCTAAGGCTTTCGATGTATGTATGTAAGTAGCTACTGCTGCTTACGACTGGCAGATGACGACAAAATACTGGATTCTCCAAGCCATGAGGGAACTCTCCAGCATGTGAAGAGCCTGGTCTTACCTGACATTTGGGAACCATGATCTCTGGTTCCGGCTTACCATTGGCACACTGGCCCCTTGAGCTCATTCACTTTTGGCCACGCCACCTTGGGGCCACAAGGACTGGAAGTGCCAATCTGCGCGCCGTTAGTCGGAGTGACCTGTGCAGCTTCCGATGCCTCGGGGTGAGGTAGAATAAGTTTCAGTAGACACGAGCAGCTTTAACCACCACCACCGGGGATATGGCAGCCGTAAGGGTATAAGTGATAAGGATCCCCCACGTTTAAGAAATTGTAAATCGTGGAGAGTCCATAATCCAATCAGTTGACTAGTTCCTTTTCCTTCCGTTGACCCTGTCCCAAGCTGATTCTCAAGGGCGTTCGGTTGTTGGTCTACTGTGCGAAGACGGCGGCATTGCTTCCGCTCGTCCAGAGAAGCTTCCTCCGCTTCCCCGTCATAGCTCCCTCCACGCCCGGTACGCCTGGGCTAAAATCAATCCAAAGCGACAGCAAAAGCCGCCACTGGAGCCGAGCCCGTCTGGGATCCTCATTGCCGAGAACGGCCTTGCGAATGTTTGGGATCTTCCAGCTAAGCCGCTAATCAAGTGACTCCCTCAATCGCCGATTTAAATACCCTGGGTGGGTAGAGCCGAGGGACGTAGTTATACTTCCGTATCTCCCCGTATTTTTGGGCCTTCCTGTGAACCTCCGAGATCGTCCCCGTCCTTTCTTTTAATAAAAAAAAATAAAGATCCCTGGAATCCGGATCGCTGGCGATTCACTCTTGATCTTTCTCTCCTCTTTCTCCCCCTTTTGTCAAAGGACTCCCGCTGCACGCGATCGCCTGGAAACTCGTTCCATTGCGCTGTCGGCTATAGCTCTTGCAGAAGAGCTTGTTACCAATTGACAGAGAAAACAACGTCTTTGCAAAACTAGAAATTGTGCACAATGTCCGCAAAGACTGTACAAGGCCGCAATGGCAAGAAGCCAGCCTCCCCAGCTGTGAACCTCATCGGTAAGCAATATTCTCTCGGCGCATTGATTGAGTACGGTACTAACTTGCGACTCAGCTGGTGGTGGTGCTGGTATGATGGAAGCGCTCGTGTGTCACCCTCTAGGTATGTATAATTATGGGTCAATTGGCTGTCTTGAGTGAGGATCGCGCTGACAATCTATGCCAGACACCATCAAAGTTCGGATGCAGCTCTCCCGCCGTGCCCGGGCACCGGGTGTAAGTGAGAACCATATGCAAAGCATTGAGTCCTAGCTAACAGTTCGCTAGGTAAAACCCCGCGGGTTCGTAGCCACCGGTGTTGAGATCGTGAAGAAGGAGACTGCCATGGGTCTGTACAAGGGACTGGGTGCCGTCCTTGGTGGTATCATCCCGAAGATGGCCATCCGGTTCACCTCCTACGAATCTTACAAGCAAATGCTTGCCGATAAGGAGACTGGTGCTGTGACCAGCAAAGCTACCTTCTTGGGTAAGTCACGTATTCTTGAATCGCGTCCAGTCATGGATAGGGAGGCTAACGAGGCTCTTTTATTTAGCTGGTCTTGCTGCTGGTGTGACCGAAGCCGTGGCAGTGGTCAATCCCATGGAGGTTGTTAAGATTCGTTTGCAAGCACAACATCACAGTTTGGCGGACCCTCTCGATACCCCCAAGTACCGCAGTGCACCACATGCGCTTTTCACCGTGATTAAGGAAGAGGGTTTCAGCACCCTGTACCGCGGTGTCTCTCTGACTGCCCTTCGGCAAGGAACCAACCAAGCAGCCAACTTCACAGCCTACACCGAATTGAAGGCTTTCCTCCAGAGGGTTCAGCCGGAGTACAGCAACACACAGCTGCCTTCCTACCAGACAACTTTCATCGGTCTGATTTCTGGTGCTGTCGGACCTTTCTCCAATGCCCCGATCGACACGATCAAGACGAGATTGCAGAAGACCCGTGCTGAGCCCGGTCAATCAGCGGTGTCTCGTATCATGGTCATCGCGAAGGACATGTTCAAGCAAGAGGGTGCTCGTGCCTTCTACAAGGGTATCACGCCCCGTGTGATGAGAGTCGCGCCTGGTCAGGCCGTCACTTTCACCGTGTATGAGTTCCTGAAGGGCAAGCTGGAGAACTCCGGATGGGCCTTCGTCGGTGGAAACTATGAAGAGTAAGTGACTCCACTGGAAGGGCATGGCCGCTGTATGTTCTCGAAAGCATTTGATACCATGAGCATGGTGGCGTTTTCGATCACTGAGTTATCAGTATTCTCCTGTTTATATGTTTGGGGGCCTTGGAGAGCTGCCAGGCGAGATCCACACGGAGTGGGTTGTATATGTTATACCTGTTTTCCCAGTTCATTTCCTATGTTAGCATACCTACTTTCTTGGATAGAGTCAAACAAATCATTCAGAGAAGTCAATTGAATTCAGAGGGTGTAGTATAGAGTAGAAGTAAATACAAATCTTCCCACGTAGATAAGAAGCGGCCGATCGCCCGGGGCATTAGCTGAGCCCCGCTAGGAACAAGACACACCGCTTCTGCCCTTCCCCTCCGTCTTGTCTTCCCCGAAACAACCTTCCAGATAAACCCCTCGACTGCAGGAAGTAGACCGGCCGATAAGTTGCATAATCTGAAACGGTCAGGAGCTACTGCTGGACCTTTATTCACGATGCAGTCAGGAATCTCAGGTACATATCTACCAATCTCATTCCTCTCTTCTTCCCCTTGTTCCTGGCGATTACGACATCCCGCAACCGATCCCCTCGGACATGCCACCTTACAACCCAAGTTACGCTCGTCCCAGCATTCTTTGCTAACTATGCCCAATAGTCTCTGATGAGCTTCACGAAGCCTTCAGGAACTTCGTCTCCGATGAATCCATTTTCTGTCTCCCCGTAACAATCAAGTCGGAAAGCCTGTCGCCCCTTTCCCCGGTTCCTTTCGCCTCTCCGAACGCCTTCTACCCGTCTCTTTCCCAGCTCTCGTCCGTCCTTGAACCCAAGACTCCCCTTTACCTCCTCATTCGTCGTCCTGAGGGTGGTTCATCCTCTCTCGTGGCTTTGACCTACATTCCCTCCAATGCTGGCGTGCGCGCCAAGACTCTCTTCGCCGCAACCCGCGCCACCTTGGCTAGGGAACTAGGCACGGAGAAGTTCGCTTCGACCATCTTCGCTACAGATGAAGATGAGGTTATTGGCGAGGAGGCATGGAAGGAGCGAGATGCAGAGAAGAAGGGTACCGCGGGCGGTTTCCGACGGGAGGATTTAATGGGCGAGAAGGAGCGGGAGTTGGAGGCTGTACGGAGAGCCGAAGAGGAGGCTCGCAGCGGCACTCCGAGCAGAGATATTGGTATTGGCGGCACGTTCAACAGGGCGAATCCATTCGGTGGTGCGTCCGTCAAGATGAACGTCGATGATGAGGTTAAGCAGGCCCTCGAAGGGTTACAGCAGGGTGGGCTGGTTCAGCTGGTACGTGTCTTCTCTCTACGGTTTTCCAACCCAACGCATTTGGGTATGTATATTTCCTTTGGGATTGCTCTAACTTCGCTTTTCTAAATACAGGCCATCGATGTCCCGACGGAGGCGATCAAGGTTGCTGCCGCTGAGTCCGGGGTGGATGCGAACTCCGTCCAGTCACACATCCCTTCGTCCTCTCCCCGGTACACACTTTACCACTACCCCGACTCCGACGTGGTGATCTTCATCTATACCTGCCCCTCGGGTTCCTCGATCAAGGAGCGTATGCTGTACGCCAGTTCCCGAATGTATGCAATCACTATGGCTGGCGACCAGGGCTTGAAGATTTCAAAGAAGGTAAGAGCTGGTTGCAAACGCTCGATTGATTGAAGAGTCTCCCTAACACAGCATGCAGATTGAGGCGTCATCGCCCGACGAGATCACGGGCGAAAGGTTGCATGAAGAAGTCCACCCGCCACAGGACAACGGACCGAGCCGGGGATTTGCGAGACCGAGACGCCCGGGTCGGTAAATCTCCGTGCGTGGGTGGATGACCCCGTAATTTCTTGTATATCCCGCTCTATGATCCGCGATAGTATATAGCCCCGGGCACCTGTGAACCGAAACACCGCCGGTACCATTCTTCTCTCTCTTCCGTAGGTGTAGCTGTCTCATTCTCAACAACCGTTTATATTCGCCCAAGCCACTCCCATAAATCTGCAGAGCTCCCTAAGGCCAGGAGCATACGATGCAGATAGCAGCAAGTTCGCGTCCAAGAGTTCCCAAACGCGTGGCGAACAAGAAAAACAACACCCAGCCAGCATCAATGATTTCGAAAACTTTTCTTTTGGTAGAATAAATCTGTCCTCGAACTTCCCAGGTTTATAATCTTCGGACAGCCGTCCCGATCCTTCTCGAGTCGCGTGCACTCAAAGCAGTAAAAGGCATCACTGATACCCTCTCCACCACAAACGATGCACTTGTTCTGGTAGTTTCCGAAGGAGCACTCGTCGCAGATGCGGACCAGGGTCGTGGGACGCACGTAGGAGTCGCACACGGGACATTTGCCGTCACACTTATCGCACAAGCGGCCGATAGAGATGCCGGGCTGCTTGCGGCACATGACAAGATCGGGATGATGGCGAGACATGGTGGGTTTATGAGATCAGGAGCTTCTCTTGAAAGTGGTGGGAGACGCGACGACTCTTGAAGAACGATGGGCAACGCGAGATATAGAGTGAGAAGTTCGCTAGCTAAAAGAAAGCTGCAGGTATTACGAGCAGTCGACGCTTCGTAGCAATAGAATGAGATATGTCAGCAGCAAGACAGTGGAAGGCAATCGAAGAGTCTGGGTCGGGGGACACAGAGAAGAGAGGGAGATGGAACTGGAAATGGAAGAAACGCTCTTTCGGGGCGGTCTAGTGGTCCGTGCACGGGCCGTTGGAGTCCCGCCGCGCCGGGCATATCGCGATACCGAACGAGGTTTGAGAGAAGCTGCAAATGAATACCCGGTGACTTCTGTCTCGTTGTTCGCGGAATGTTATGATTCGAGCTGTTCGATACCTAGCCTTCATCTCTTTTAATTCAAAAGCATTTTTGTTTTTATTCGATTGAATCTTATTTACTATTTACTTCTTTCCTCACCTCTCACAGCTCTCCTCCCTGCCAGATATGACCGAAGGGTATATATTACTTCGCCGCCTACCCTGACTACCTTTCTATACAAGAAACATCCCTGCTAACATGGGACATTTGCATGACAATACAGAACTCTCGCGTCGGCCGTCGCCCTCCCCGACCAAGACACTATAATCCCGTCCCCAGAAGCAGGGCTAAAGCGGCGACAATCGTCAATTACGGACCCCGACTCGGAGAACAAACGCCGTCGTCTTAGCTCACAGGCAGAACATCACGACGACACCCAGTCCATTCCAGATCGCAAACAGTCCTCGCCAGATGTAACAGAGCGGAAACCGCGACGTGGCGCAGGACGGGATGAGGAGCGCAAACGCGGCCAACGACTATTCGGTGCTTTGCTGGGGACGCTTTCGCAGAGCTCGAGCTCGGCGGCCCAAAAGCGACGTGCGGATATTGAGCGACGACAACAGGATAAGTTGAAGTTGCAGGATGAGGAGTATGGGGAGCTGAAGAAGAAGAGACGGGAGGAACGGGCGGCGATTCGGAAGAAGGAGCAGAGGTTCTACGAGGAGGAATCGGTGAGTTTTGTCCCCCGGGAATGATGATGGCGATGATTTGCTGGGTTTCTGGTTGCTGCTCGTTTTATGTCGTGCAGGCGCTGATGGATGTCTCAGATGCGCACGCGCCACTCGAATATGATTGCGATGGCTCATTTCCTTAAGACGAGGACGGAGCCTGTATTAGTATGTTTCCCAACCTTACGGTTTTGTGGCGTTGGTGCTTACGTTTGGGGGGTTCTGACTATTCTATCTGCAGTACTACAAGCCGTGGCAGCTAAGGGCGGAGGATGAGGATATAATACAGGACCAGATTAAAGAAGCGGAAGCTACTGTCGCGAGAGAAGTGGCGGAGTTTGAAGCACGCTATTCGTCCCCCGAGGAGGAAAATGCCAAGCAGCAGGAGGAGAAGAAACAGGAGTCAGGGCATGAAGAGACTCAGGAACCAGCCTCGGTGTCCGAAACAGACGCCCTGGAGAACAAGAGTGTCGCTCAAGCGTCTTCGGTCACGCTGGGAGCCGAGACGACAGCCGATGGAGGTTCAGAAGAAGCGAAAGCCGAGACCACGCTTGCTAATGACAGCAACGTATCTACTAGTATGGACCATGACCGCTCGGATATCCATCGACACGACGATGATGGCGGTGAAGTGGAAGAGGATCAGGAAGATACGGTAATCTACTAGCAGCAGAAGCGGTGACTGTCTCTTTCTCTTTGATTTAATTCCACCATCTATTATCATGTTGAGTAGCGAATGGCAATGTCGACTGGAGGTGGAAGCAAGTCTATGCTCTCCCTTCTTATGTACATTAGTTAGTGTCTGCATCGAGTAAGAGCCGAGGCATTTCGGCGGGAAGGCCGGCGAGTCCCCTTTCGGCTGGCTGAACACAAACAATTCGGCGGTCTCCAATCAATCAACCTGGGCAAAATTACTGCCAGGAAAACAGGTTATGTGTATCAGAAATGCCATATTACTCGTGCCCAATGACTCCGTCGCCTCATTTCCTGTAGTTAGTCTTATATTAATCGATCAATAGCCCCGGTTGCACGTGACGGACAGCTGGCGGGGGTCTCCATAGGGTACCATTTATAGATCCTGGGAAAGTCGGTATAGCAGCATGCATCTTGCTTGATTCTTCTTTATCTTTGATCATCTTTCTGCAGTAGACATCCTTGTCTGTACATTATATCTAGACCACAGCTTCCATCCAACGTTGTTCCGTCATGACCGTGGACAAGATCGATGTAACCGGTGACCCGAGGGTCGAGCGCCGCTCGGCAAACGTCAATGGCAAGACATACGGTATGTAGGAGATGCAGCACATCTGATGCAATTCAAAGGACGGGTTCCCTGCAGGCTCGATTTCCTCAATCCATGCAGTGTTATAATAATCTTGCAGCACTGCTGTCCACATATATTCATCTAAATCTAGATACTGTACTAGAAGCTGTAATACATGATCGCTGATATATATTGCAGGCTACCTCTACAGCGAGCCCGAATCGGGGGTTTATCGGGCGACAATCTTCCTCGTGCGTGATGCCACCCCCATAAAGAGTGATTGGCGATACATATCGCAGTCATCTAAATCAAGCAAGATCATCTAACTCTCATCTGCTATATACAGCTCCATGGCTTCCCCGACCTATCCATGGGATGGCGCTACCAAATCCCCATGTTGATTTCCATGGGTCTGCGAGTTGTCGCGCCAGACTGTCTAGGATATGGCCGAACAGTACGTGCTATAATCGCCCTTTGAACCACAAACAATCAATTTTAACGAAGAAACAGGACGCACCCGAAGAAATAGAACTATATTCGCACAAAAGCTGCGCCAACGACATCAAAGAACTCGCAACCCAACTACAAGCACCCGAAATCATCCTCGGCGGACATGACTGGTAGGCACTCCCTTATTTCCAATTACATCCTTTATATATCATAGCGAGCACGAGAACTGAATATCAGGATAGGGGCGCCGCCCTCGCCTATCGCGTCGCGCTCTGGCACCCGGAGCTCGTAACGCACATCTTCACAGTCTGCGTGCCGTATGCAGCGCCGACACGAAAATACCTCGCGCTAGAAGACATGGTAGAGAACATCGCGCCACATTTCGCGTACCAGCTGCAATTCCGGAGCGGAAATCTCGAAGACGTCATCTTCAGCAAGGAAGATATCGAGAAGTTCTTGTCGGCGCTGTATGGCGGTCGGACGGATGATAGGGATGTGGCGTTTGATGCCGAGTATGGGGTTTTGTTGGATCGAATGGAGCTTGTTAGGCCGTCGCCTTTGTTGAGTGAGGTGGTGAGTTGTCCTTACTTACTTGTTTCTTTGAGAAGAAAAAGAGGAAAAGATGTAAATGCTAATATGGATAATTATGCAGGAACTGGAATACTACGCGACTGAATTCTCGAGGAATGGGCTTCGGGGGCCGTGTATGTCCTATCCTATTTTACCCCATTCCCATCTAAGCCACAGCGATAAGAACTGAAATCCAACTAACAAAAACACAGTAAACTGGTACCGCACACGGGAGATCAATTACGAAGAAGAACTTGCCATTTTGAACGCACGCATCACAGCCCCGTTACTATTTATCCAAGCGCTGAAGGACTCCGCGTTGCCACCGCACCTAGGAAAAGGAATGACGAGGACCGTCCCGCATTTGACGTATAAACAGGTGAATACGTCGCATTGGGCGCTGTGGCAGGAACCGGAGGAGGTGAATGAGATCATTGCGTGGTGGCTGAAGGAGGTGGTGTTTAAGAGTTTGAGGATGTCGAGGTTGTGAGTGGTGTTGTATGAAGGTGGTTGGGGGTGTTCTGTATGGGTATCTGACACCCAGGTGTACTCTTTTGTACGCATATGTTGATTGATTGATTGATTGTTTGTTGTGCTCTTGGGTCTGGGCTGATGCGAGTGTCTTTTGGAATCTTGGATGTATCCGCTGGGCGGGATTGCTTTGTCTTTCTGTTAGGGATCACGCTTTGGAAAATGGGTATCTTGGTTTATTAGTCCTAGGATAAAGTTACAGTATTTTGCTCTACTACTGTTCCTTTATATAAATGGCATGGAGTTGGGCATTTAAAGACTTTTTTGAATGAGCCGCGGGGTATTATAAATCAATGGCAAGTAGTAAGTACTATTAACAACCAAGTAAATCTCTATAAACAGGTGAATCAAGTCATAAGTAGCTATATAACAAAATATTGCGAGTTTGTCAATCGGATAAGGCCACAAGCAAATCAATTATCAACGACCTGAGTCTCGATATGACATCCGACCTTATCCCAGCGATCAATAAACTCCTGACCCAAAGTAGCAGTAGTCACGATACCGCAACGAGACACCTTCTTCACCTTCTCCTCATTCTCAATTATAGTCATGGCCGCCTCAGCCAGACTCAACCCAGTAAACTCGTACATAGTACCCTGGTATCTCAACTTGCCCAGCACACGTTGAGGCTTTGCCGTATCCTGGTCCGCAGTCGCGACGGCGCGGTACTCGACGAAGTCGTTGACGGAATCCTCGAGAGTAGGACCAGTACCCGGGGTATAGATGTACTTCCTGACAAGGGTGCGAATCGGAGGCAGGAGTAAAGCCGTAACGGCGAAAAGGAACGCATAATGCCATAGAATTCCGGTGAAAGCGTTCCTGGCGCGGAGGAATTGTCTGAAGTAGAACCGGGGTCCGTAGAACTCCGGCATCAGGGTACTGCTGCGGTGGACGGTGGTGATGTCTGCTAGACCTGATGGTGAGGTGGTCAAGATGCCCAAGTCACGCACGGATCGAATACCGAGTAGCCTCGTCCATAACGGCTCGCGAGGGATGTCTTTCGGAGGGGGAGCTGCGGCCAGTGCAAAAGGGGTGGATATTTTGCGCATTTCGGAAGGTGGCACATTTTCAAAGAAAGTGAGTACGGTGGAGAGGGTGCCACCGCTTGCTCCGGAGGACCTGCGAGGGCTGGTGTTAGGTATTGGATGATCCGTGGGTTAAGTTCTTTTATCTCACTTGATCTCGTGGATGTCACCGGTGATTGATCTGGTGTGGCATGACAGATCTTCGCGGACTCGCTTCACTGTAGCCCATGCGAGCAGGTCTGCAGGTGCGCTTTCTATGCCAACGCAAGGGATGATCTGATTGATTGTCAGGATGCTGTCGTACTGCGGAGTCATGAGGAGAAGGTACATACAACAGCACCGTTCGCTTTGGCGGTTTCATGGTATTCACTGATGATTTCCTTGACCCAGTGTGTCTCTCCGGTACTACATCGGTTAGCTATACATTGGTGAACTGATTCCATGGCGGCAAACTGACGCATCGACATAGTGAGTTCCATTACTGGCGCAAGCTTCAATCACGGGCGTAGAGTATAGACAGTAGGGACCCACGCAGTTAATGATAACTCGCGTCTTTTGAACCAACGGGTGCAACTCCTCACGATTGAGTTGCACGGGGAGGAGATCTACTAGCAAGTCAACGGTATGTTCGGTCAACAGACATATAGATTCACGGTATCAAGTACCTGGATCGGCACGATCCGGGTTCACATTCTTCAGCTCTTTGGCGATATTCTCCAACTTGCTGAGAGAACGACCGGCCAGAGCCCACTTCAGGTTGGTGGGAAAGTTCTTGACAATGTGGTCAGCACAGAACCGTCCTGTATAGCCCGTGGGCCCCAGGACGATCAGATCATATTGCTTGTTGGATTCCATTTGTTCACGAGGCTTTACCGGTTAACGATATACGAGTAGACACACTGGATAGCAAATACAGATAGGAAACAACCGCTATGAAGATTATTTGACCGCCACGGACGAATCTAGGGGGGATTCCTGGATGCCACCCAACCATGACGGCGCTGCTGAACAGCGGTCCTGGGCTAACCCGATGTGAAGAAACCTCCGATGAAGGGACCGAGGCATGCGGTTATGCTTTAATGCAGTAATGGGATGAGGGGACATTGTGTAGTTGATCGTAGCCATCTCTAGCATATGAAAGGGTTCTACTCGCTTCTGTTCAGTAATCAAAATCAGGCAAGGGTCCTATTGAAGTTATACAATCCCTGTTGCTTACCATAAGGTAACTATTGCCGACTAGTTACAAAGTGGTTAGTAAACTACGTAGTTAATTAGTTATGTTATGCTGTGTTGTATTACATAATCTCCCGTTTGTGTACACATGTATGTGGGGGGCTGCATGTTCGAGATAGATGCGCACAGTACGGCTTGAAGTAAAGAACTTGACTATGACCGAAAATTTTGATAAAGTGACGGGATTCACAAGTTTCTCTATAATTAAAAACGTATATTTTCTAAAGTACGATGAAAGCTTGCTGCCAGGAGAGTAGACTTGTTGCGTACATCATAGGGAGCGTCTGCATTTGAAGGGGTGCACGTGACCGAAGTTCCAGCCCTAAGCGAGCCCGCCCACAACCATTCCCGCCCGAGTAGAAAGCCTCAGTCTCGATTTCGACTTACCGCACTGTATCCATCTTCGACTCAACAGCCGCACAGAGACAAGATGACGAAGCGCACCAAGAGTATGTGCCCCTTTTGAACCTCTACTGGAGGACCGATGAACTCTTGAATGAATGAACGATGAATCGCGAGACTAACAATTATTGCAGAGGTCGGTATCACGGGTAAATATGGTACCAGGTATGCAGCCACGCTTTTCCACCACGACGGTTTGAAATCGGGATGAAGTCGATCGCGTTTTTATTCTCCGAAAATCGAAGACGACAGATTCAGCCTTGAATTTCGCCATACAGAAGAATCGATATTGACGATGGTGATAATAGATACGGTGCCTCCCTGCGTAAGCAGGTGAAGAAGATGGAAGTGTCCCAGCACGCCCGTTACATCTGCACCTTCTGCGGAAAGAACACCGTCAAGCGCAAGGCTGTTGGTATCTGGGAGTGCAAGGGCTGCAACAAGACTGTTGCCGGTGGTGCCTACACTGTCTCGTAAGTACCGAATCTGCTGCTGCTGCTTTCGATAAGCTGCGTCCTGGGCCCAGTGCAGTCTCCATCTATACGGACTGGGCCTCAAGAAGCGGACGTGACATGGATGCTAATCGCTCGGGTTGTGTTACAGTACCCCCGCCGCTGCCGCCACTCGCTCCACTATCCGTCGTCTCAGAGAAATCGCGGAGGTTTAGATGTGATAATGGGATAACCTTTTCTATTACGTTTAAATTCAAAAATGAGAAAATGAGATCTGGAGAATTTCAATAAGCGAATGTCTCTTACCACGAAGCCCGCTAGTACGATGTTGGTAGCGCCAACTGTTGTCGTTTGAACACAAGATTCTTCACCAATAGATTTAATTACCATCGGTGATTCCAGACCCTTCATTTCGTTCCATCGAACCAATTAGTCGATTCACGGGATTTATCGGATGGACTCTTTCGTACTACCACTGTTCTGCACTTGGGGACAAAGGGAATAACTTGTGATTATATCATACCATCTGATGGACTCGTTTGTGGCAGCATGTGAGTATCCCAACAGGGGGTGCTGGGTTCAGGTTGATGGATGTCCACTCGATAATCTTGAGTTGAGTGTGTAGGAAGACACCGCCAACCACCGCATTTCCGCCAGGATGTAAAGGAAAACGCCCCCTCGTGCAGATATCGACATGCATGCATACTATCCTTATGTGCCAAATGTGGTCTTTTTTTTGCTTGATCACTCGTTTAGAGTTCTATCCGTAGCTTGTTCGGACAGGTTGCTCAACACGGTCGCAAACCTTAAAAAGAAATGTGTCTACTACGTATTTGTTCCATTTTCTTTTGTTATTTTTGTTTTCTTGGACTACTACTAGGGAAGGGACCGTTGTGTCAGCTAAATATATCAAATTAACTAACTAGTTCCTCGTCATATTTTAGGCAGATAAGAAATGACGGTCGTTCGGGAGTTTGCACTACTATCTACTACTGACTACTAAATACTTATGGAGGGGGTGATCAGGGTCACACCGACCCATGGACTTTTCTACTAGCTTTTTAGGGGAAGAGAAGGAAAGACATTCAACTACTAAAGCAGAGGGAGGGAACTAGGAGGAGGCTTGCTGAGAGAGATGCAAAGGTACTCAGCTGGTGCTGCAAGGGCAAGGCATTTTTCTCATTCATCATTCAAAAAAGAAGAGAGCGCGGGTGACTAAGGCCAGGCGACGATATTCAATAAAGATCATTGGCTGGACCAAGGCCGGTCACGTTGGAGGCCAGACTGCATTGCGTTAGGCTGGATTTCAGGTCCACCTTCAAAAGGCCGGTTGCTTTCTCCCCACATCACTCGACCTGCTCTCTCTCCCCTTCTCCTTCCCACTCCCTCTGCCTTCCTGTCCCTTCTGCCGGTTGCTCTTCATGCCTTCTCTCAGCGTCTCTGCAGACAATTGTGGCACATCACCTTCTGTTAATGTCCGACACCTGTATTGTGTGCTTAGGAGACCTTGGCGAAAGCGCCAGCGATCCTCTTGCCGTCGCCGCCGAGGCCGCGCCAAGACTTGACCTCGGGGCAGAGGGCAAGTCGGCGGATACCTCTCTCAATCTCGATGGCGTAGATGGCACGGAGGATTCGGGTCAGATCGCTCAGCTCCTCCCTTGCGGGCATATCCTGCACAATAACTGTCTGAAGCCCTGGGTCGAGCGAGCCAACAGCTGTCCGATATGTCGTCGGAGTTTCAACATGGTCGAACTAAGTGACCGCCCTGGTGGTAAGTACTTGATAATTCCCCTTTCTATCTATTGATTTACCTACATTGATCATGGATGGTCTCTACTTCCCTCTGTGTCTGTTATATATCTCTCGATGTACTGATCACTGGTTTTCCTTCAGGCCCCGTCACATCTTCCTATGCCGTGCAGGATCGAGTCCAGCAAGCAGAAGTCGACCCCTCGATGATAATCGAATATATAGACGATGACTTCGCCGATTTCCAACCWTGTCCTATCTGTGGGGATGCAGACAATGAAGAGCTGCTTCTCCTTTGTGATGGCTGCGATGTACCCTCTCACACATATTGCGTTGGCCTCGATTCTGTCCCCACGGGTCCTTGGTACTGCGCACGGTGTGTGACGCAACGTCGTCTCGGGCGGTCTTCTGAGACTGCCGACTGGTCTTCCCAGGCACCAGACAGGCGTGGTCGTCGCACAAGAGCACAGCGACGCAGACTGCAGAGCAGAAACCAGCTCAACTCCCTACACTGGGCCCGCGTGTGGCAATCTGTCTGGGATCACCTCAACCTCGACTTGGACTTTCCGTTCGATGATGACATGGCTGCGGAGCGCGCTCGACAAGAGCAACGCCGGGAAGAAGCCCATCAGCGTGATTTCCGAGCCTGGCAACGTCGCTTTGAAGTTGCCGAACAACAGGGTGGTGGCAATCGGTTCCGAGACACTGCCGCTCTATTGGATATCGAGGCGCCTCGCCCTTCGCGGCCTCGCGTTCCGCGTGAGCCCACCCCGGAGCCCGAGTCTCTTGAAGAGATGAGGGCCTGGAATGCTTTCGAGCGTGCCCGCGAAATTGAGAATGACCCAAGCGCGGCCCGGAAACGTAAAGAACCTACATTGTCGCCCTCTCCCGAGCCTACCGAACCTGAACGCAAGCTGAAGCGGCCCCGGACACGGAGGGCTGAAGACCTGGCAGCTCGGGCTATGCAGAATGGCGAGTCATCAAGAGTCTGCTAGTGCGCAAGTCCTCTGCTCGGTATCAATGCTGAGAGTTCGAGCGAACCGAGCTTCCTTCAGTCCCTTCTCAAGGAGGTGGAAGAATCGTCCAACCCCAACGGGTTCACTTCTCATGGCGCTTCCGGTCAATCATCCATTGCACCCACCGATCATACGACCCCAGGCCCCTCCTCGCCTTCCATCTCACCTGCCCCGTCAAACCATTCTTCCCCGCGTCTATCTTCCGTCACACCGCCTCCAACCCTCCGAAGCAGGCCCATGTCTCACTACAACTGGGGTCACCAGCAGATCCGTCCTCTCCACCCTTCTCGCCAGATGTGTCGCCGGCTGGTTCCGCTCGCAGTGCCCAAGATGATCACACATCACAAGTCCCCACTCGCCGCCCGAATCGTCGGATACCTCGCTCTGCCACTCGATCAGCAGCTATCCGATCCGACGATAGCTCGCCCAGTCGTCCCGGCTTGTCCCTTAAAGTCAAGTCTGACATACAAAAGTTGGTCGGGTCATCGCTGAAGCCTTACTATCGTTCGAAGACCATCACGAAAGAACAATACACAGAAATCAATCGCAATATATCTAGGAAGCTGTACGAGCGTGCGGGCGACGTCGAAACGCTCGGGATCGGGGCCAAAGCCACGCTGGCTACTGTGGCCAAGGACGAAGTGGAGAAGGCCATTGATGCGTTGAAGCAACTAAATGACCTCAATGACTCTGTTGATGATAGTTCTTGATACTTGAATAGCGTCTTGCATTTCCCGGCGTTTTGCAGCAATTAATTTGGTTCCTGTGGAGGATAAGATAACCCGGCGTTTGTTTTCAAGTGACAACTCCCGTTTGGCCGGAACTTCGCACGGGAGGGTTGGATACCCATTAGGAAATATACTGGCCGGCTGGGTGGCGTATGTTGTCCACCGCATACTGTAGCATTGTCTTGCATTTATTATATACCTGAGTGATATACTACGAATGTTGTTTTGCTGGCCGACCAGGACCCTGGACGGCCAGCGTGGGCAGTACATGTGTCCGTCATGAGCGTGAACCCTGCGATGTAGCACAGACACAACAATCATGTAGACCTACTAGTTAATCCTCATTCCTCACCGCTTCAATGACAACGAGAGACCAGACCCAACTATCAATCCTAACAACCCAGACATGAGACCACCACCTGCTGCATATCTAATTAGTCTGTAACATTAGTCCCACAATGCACACGACCAGAAAGTAAGTAAGTAGTTAAGCAGAGTCGTACTATAGATAGTCACCGCCAATTGCAACCGATCGGACGCTCCCGACAACGACTACTTTGTGCTTACAACCTATCGATCGATCACATCACATCACATCAACCTCTCTCTCTCTCTCTTTCTTCCTCGCTTAAGCATCCACGGGCAGCTGGACATGCACTCGAGGTTCTGCATGCACGGGTTCCCAACCACCACTGATCGACTCATGGATTGCCGAAGCACCTACCGATCTATTCTGAGTAGATACTTCGTGGGAAGACACTGTAAATAGATCTGCTACCTAGCTACCCACTTGGTTACATATCGGTTCGCATGATCTGGAACTGCCTTAGCGAAGTACATAGTACATAACCACATACAGTAGTGGTAGCTGTCCAGGTATCATTGCATGCATGCTACAGACAGACAGACACTTGGAGTTCGGGCTCTGGTTTCATGATATACATACATACATCATACATAGAGACTGGTAGCAGAAGGGAAGGAAACCTGACGAAGAAATAGTAAGCGTACATAATGTAGACAGACAGACAGACAGACTATGTACAACAACCAAGGCAACTGCTTGCTACTACTATACTATTAGCTAGCTAGCTATTCTCTCGAAAGATAGAAAATAGGATTAAAAAAAACACAAAAAGATATGCGACACCTCTGGGACTCGAACCCAGGCGGGCGAACCCACAGGCTAATCAGCTAGTACGGAGATGTAGTAGCAGGCCTGCGCCTTAAACCACTCGGCCAAAGTGTCTGATTGGTTATTTTATTTTGCCTTTCTAGAGGGCTATATACTACTTTCCTACAAATAACATATGTGTTTTGTCGCTTGGAGATCCACAATTCAGCAAGCCCCTCTTCTTTGTTCCGTGGATTCGGACATTGGCATTATTGATCAAGTAGCTTAGATAGGCTGGGTTCTTTGCTTAAACTAGATACCGGGTTTTCCTTGTGTGTGTGTGTGTGTGGTGGATCGGATCAGTTCCGTTATGGTGGTAGGGAAATCCTACCTTGTTGATTGATTGGTGGGTGTTGAAAATTTTCTTCTTCCTGGACTTCTTGTTGCTCCCTTCTTTTACTGGTGTACTAGTTGCGGCTGTTTGCGCTGCTGCTAATGCGGTCCTCGTCACGCGTGCTGTCTTGCAGCCGGCGGATAAGTTCTTACAGATTAGACTGTTTGTTTCGTTTGTCAAACTAAACTGCCTTGTATTGATTACTCGACATGAGCTGTCTACCAAAACAGTCTACGTAGCAGTTAGTAGGTGAGTGTTAGAGACTTGACTTGCTGCAGAGCTGTCACATTCTTCTGTCTCGTCTCTCTTGTTCTTGCAGGATCCAGTCACGGCTCCATCCGACGAAGGTCTAGACGTGAAGAGAAGGCAAAGAGAAGGGAAAGAGAAAAGAAAAATTATGGAGCCCACAGCTATAATCTATGGAACCCCTATTTTTTTTCTTCCTATGGTCCCACTGACTGAAACCTGCAACACTATTCAAGCCACACGAGCACAAAGTCAGCCTGTTTATCTTCAAGTAGATTAGTTCTGGTGATGGTGTTTTGAGTCGCCGGTCTTTGGTGCTAGGAGAATTAACCGCATCAGGTATGGTTTCGGCTCTCGGTCTCAGAAAATGTGCCGCCGTTCCTGGTTCGAATCTCAGCGTGTGGCCCGTGGACAGGCTGAAGTTAAGCGGATGACGAATCACTGCACAAGTGCAGACGTACAGATAACTTCCAACAGTGGATTGCGTGATATGGCAGACCGATTGCTGTAACTCCCACGTGCCCTTTCTTCTGACATACCCTATTACAGTCTTGAAACTGACTGATCTCGTCAACGGTAAGCCTGCGCACGTCCTGAGGACGAAGTGTCGAGAAATGTCGAGATAGGCACGCCAAGCCATCGGGTAGAAGTGGGCACTGGATCCTGTGTTGATATCTAACCTTCTTTATGAATCATTTCGGGAATTCGGAGCCACCGAGGCGCGAGCTGGTGCCCACTTGGCCGCATAGAGAGAAGAGTTTGCATCCCATGGCCCCCAAACCCATTAGTGTTGCCTGAGGGGCTGTTATGCAGCCGGGGAAGCGCATTATTTAGGATGTTTGCATTATGTCTGGCCTGCAGACCAGTATGCCTCCAATGAGGTTCTTGTAAACAACGAGGACCCTGGTCATTTTTCGGATATAACGGCTCGAGGTTAAGTCTGGGCATGATGGCATTGCCCTAACCTAAACACAAGATCCCATTCTGAGGTCTATCGGGAATCTGTAGGAAGGTGGGTAACCTGATCCTTGGACCTTGGGATGTTATGGTCAATATGCTCCGGTCCATCGAGTGGGGTCCTTCGTTGGAGATATCCCGTCTGGCCTTAACCCCGTCGGCTTTTTCATGATTAAGCCCGGGTCTTGATTAATCATTTCTTCATATCTTGGCTTGAGGAGGCCCACTCATCGAAGAGGCTTTGATGTCTTTATAATGTCCACCATGGCCCTAGTCCCCCGGCAGGTATCTTCTTGCCTATCCTGTTCCCCAGTCCCTCTAGAAGTTTCGATTGGTCTGTGGAGATAGTATATACTATAACTGTCTCCATCTAGGACGTTTCTTTCCACATCGAAGATC